CACAGATACATTTGTCATTGTCAGAATAATTCTATGTTATGATCCAATGATCTTTGTGAAAAGTATGAGAATGCTGTAAATGTTCATTGCCTCTACTTCACCTTGCTAGTGTGAGATAAGGACAAGACGTCCTTAGCGGGTAGTCAAATCACCATGCCTACACACACATTTGCGGGAGGTTGTCTTCTGTTGTCTGTATATAAGAACCAATGCTTCATGCTTTTAGTTAGACACTTGTTCAGACTCTGTGCTGTACATGTTGCTCCTTGCTGCAAGAAAAACTTTGCTTTGACTTAAGAGACGAGTCTGTGTTGACTGGGAGCAGTTAGGACTCCACTGAAGAATTTTCCTAACATTTTTGGTCCCTCCTCTGGACAGGTTTGGGGCCGAAACCATGTACGGGAGAGTCTGGGACTCCTGGAACAAAGACCTCCGTCTTGAATTAGACGTTCAGAGAGGCCAGCCGCTGCTGTCCGGAGGAGGGTGAAGGGATTTCGAGAACAAGTTAAGAGTCGTCACAAGTCAACGGTAGGCCTGGTTTTATTTGTCTCTTTCCAAGAAACAGTCAAAATTACTGAGGTAGTTATTCAGGTTGTCTCAGTAAAACCAACTAGCAGGAGTAACCTAACAGTGGCAACAACCTGCTGGTTTGTGGATACCTAACGGTGGCAACGAAGCAAAGGTTTCACTGATAGGACCAGTTGCTCGGCTGAATTCCATACAAACTGGTTGGCTACTGGAGGGGAACTGGGTTCCTTAGATTCCTTAGGGGAATAGTGATAAAACTACCAGAGTTGGACAGGGCTCTATAAATCTGTCATAAAAAAGTCGGACAGGACTATAAGTCTGCGTTAAATTTTATAAAGACAGTCAAAACAGGACTTAAAGCTGTTGTAAGAAGTCTGGTAGGACTATAACCATTAACAGAACTGCTTAAAGAAGTGTTGAGGGTAGAGACAAATAAAACAATAAAATAAAAAAATTAAATAAAACAATAAAATAAAAAAAGAAAATAAGAAAAGAAAAAAATACCATATATATATATATAATGGGATGTTGTTGGAGTAAACCCACAGGAGATGCCAAATGCATGCAACAGATCGATCGAAAATCAATAAAACACTTTAAAAAATGGCAAAAGGATTACAATTTTGAAGGTGAACTAGATTAATAAAAATGAAAAAAAAAGTATGTAAAAGAAAAAGAGAAAAAAGAAGGCTGGTAGTAAGCAAATCAATGGCTTGAACAAGCAAAGAAGCAAAAAGAAGGCAGAGAAAAAAGAGTAAGTAAGTAAGTAAGTAAAATTTATTTATAAAGCGCTTTTCCCAGACAAAAGTCACAAAGTGCTTTAACATTAATAAAATACAGACACAAAATTGCAAAAACTGCACAAAACATAGATAAAAGCACAGTACACAGCATAAGAGCNTTTGTGACTCCTGTGATGGACTGGCGACCTGTCCAGGGTGTCCCCTGCCTTCGCCCTGAGACGGCAGGGATAGGCCCCTTCATGTATAGCCACTTGATGGATGCTCTATCTACTGAGCCACAGCCACCACAAGACGCTGACTATGTTCTGTTATGTTAAAGTACCAATAGAGGACACTCAGAGACCCCAAATGAGTGCCATAGCACTGTTTAGTGACCTGATCAGTCTTGCAAATGCATTAATTGAGGGAGTGACACAGTGAGATGACAAATCACACAAATGAAAAACAGCATTCGACTGCTGTTGAGAAAATGTGATATTTATGTAAACAAATATTAAGTTTTGGAAGACAGTAAACACATTAACATTATACAGTTTTCTGACTGACATGGCAGTTACTATAAAGTCAACATTGTAAAGGCACTCATTGAGCACAAATACCACGTGTCTGTGTGAACCATGCAGTCTTGTTAAATAGGCATTCAGGCAGAACTTTTGAATTGAACTGCCTGGATCCTAAAATGGCACTTCAGACATAATATGACCACTCACTGAGCTATAACCAGACACATTATGGATGGATATTATTATAGATATAGATATGATAGCATCACATTTAGTAGAAGAATAAATGTGTTTACAATAAAAACATAGTGTTTTAGATGTAATTTTGGTATTTTTTTAGAGCTTGAGCTGCTGAGCATGATGATATATAGCATGTTTCAATTCTCAAAAGATGAAGGAAGATATTGCAAGTTGAAAAATTGAGAGGCTGTAGGCAAAGTCTACCTGCAGTTTTTATTACAGTGACAGAGAGCTTGAGCTTTAAAACAAAAATCAAAAGTTAATTTGAGTTAGATTTTAACATTGTGAAAATGAAAGGCCTTGTGGCTACTTTGATACTAACTGTGTAATTATGGAGACAAATTTGTGCATTTTTTAAAAAACGTTTTCTGATCTCCAAAAAACATTACTCTTCACTCTCGCTGCTCACATGACAAATAAGTGTGTTTACATTAAGAATATGATTTTTAAGTTGTAATTCTGGTATTGTTAGAGCTTGACTTGCTGAGCATGATGATATATATATATAGCATGTTTCAACATCTCTTGCTCTGCAATCACACAAATAAGCCTGAGCAATTAAAATTGCGTGCTTCACTGAATGCTTATTAAATAAGCATTCTCCCTAAAAACCTGGCAGTTAAAGCATTCAAACAGTCCAGCAAGGATCTGACTAGACTGAACTAGTCTGAAAAGCATTGACTTACCTCACCACATTTCTCATCAGGAGGAAGAAGGCTTCTCTGGCTGAGGTACAAAAGTTTTTGCCATAAATCGCAACCTGGTGGGGAAGAAACAACAAAGAGCATTGCAACAGCATAAGATTACTGTTGGCAAAAAGAAGCCATGCTACTAATTCTAAAATGTAGCCCTTTAACCAAGTCACTCACCATGATATAAGCATTATGGTTCATGTAGCGCAGGAATTTCTCTAAACACCAGAAACAGCATTTCAGACAACACATAATGGACCTGGACAGGCTGTTATCAACACCTAAATGGATAAAGATCAGAACAGTGATTAGATTATAGTAGTAATGAAGTAAAGAGAAGTTTTGAAAATGTTTGTGTGTGTGTGTATACACCTTTTAGTCTCTGTTCCAGGTATTCCAGTATGATCTTGAATAGTTGAACAACTGAAAGAATTAGAGCTCCAAATGCCAAAGACCCTGTGTGATACCTGGAGATAGACAGGAAGAGCTCACCACATTTGTCATGTATTAGCTACCTATAATAATATACTTAAATAATAGATGGAACAGGACCAATTTAGAGGTTTGTATGGCAATTAGCTAATAAGCAAATTAACTTGGCTTAGCTATTTGAGTCCTTACCTGATAGCCCTGTTAAATGATAAAAAGAGTGGACATGGTGGGATATCCTGAGGCTTTCTCTTAGCCCAGTAGTAGCTTGCAAATGTCCCAGCCAGGGTGCACTGCTCCAGGGCCAAGCTAAAGTTGACAAGCCAGAGGAAGACCAGTAGGTTGGACAGCTGCAGCAGAAAAAGGTAGCGGTGGTAGGAGGTCTCCCCACCATAGAAGGCAAATAAACACTTAGAACCCAGACACAACGCTGATTCGGAGATGTTGGTTCTGTTGAAGGTCTGGCAGAGACACAATGGGAATAAATATACATGATGTACTTTTTGTAAAGAACATAGAAAGGTATGCAATATTTATACAGGCACACATTTATTGTTCTTTAGACGCTGTGGTTCAGCACACTCAGTTTGAAATAAAATGACAAACATTGCTACTAAGTCTCAGCTTCAAGACCACCATAGCTTTATTTTGCAAGAACTGTGCAGAGAGATAACTTCTACAACACAGTGCTAGCCTTTGCCACCAGTGACTGTGTGCTGCAGGTTAGATGGAGTAACTAACACACATTTTTCACAGCTAAAGGATACAAGGAGCTAGAAGCCTTTATATAAATGAAATTATATTTCTTACATTATACACATTGGTTACTTCAATCAAACACAGGATAATAAATACAAATTATGTCTGCAGTTGGAAAACTGTTGCTCGCTGGGATCTAATATGACTGCCGACAAATCAAAGGCTTAATTACAAACTACCAGATCAGGAGATGCTCAGCTGGGAAAGCATCCCAAAAATCTTCTTATGCCCAAAATCTACAGGCTTCATGCATCTGTCTACTTGAAATCTGCTCAGCTGATTCAGTGCTGTGATCCATTTTTCTCTCCATAGCTTTGACAGCTCTGCTGGGATAATGTCATACCATTTATATTTGTCATTCACAAATTACCAGCGATCCCCAAGTAACACTAATTCTGTGCGAATCGTACAAAAGTCAACAATTAAGAGAAGACTTTACCAGAGTGAATAAAGAAGGTTCACTACAAGGTGTAAACCTTTGGTAAGCATTTAAAAAACAGGAAGGCCAGATTAGAGTTTGCCAAAAAACCTTTAAAATAACATGTGCAGTTGTAGAACAACATCCTACGGACAGATGAGACAAATATCAGCTTGTACCGGAATTATGGGAAGAGAAGAGTATGGAGAAGGGAAGGAACTGCTCAAGATCCAAAGCATACCTCCTCATGAGTGAAGGATAGTGGTGGTAGTGCTGTGTTCACACCAGAGGCGAGTAAAATCATTCGCGCGAATGATTTACATGTAAAGTCAATGTGAAGACACAATTAGATGCGAGCAAACGTTGGGCGGTGTGAAATGCACGATTAGCGTGGTGCGAATGACACGAATTGAGCGAGTTATATGCGCAAATTCGTATTAGACGTGCAAGCTGAAAAATCTGAACTTTTGTGAATGGCAACCTTCAACTTAGCAACTCGCAAGCCGAGTTGCTAGCTATCGCAATGCTAGCGGGATAAATGTCCGTTGACTCCCTGTGGTCAGCGTACTCCTGCTGGCGGTCCATGTTGTTGTATGTCGCGAGGAAAAAAACATCGCTCTATCACAGCGAGCGCCTGTGGTTGGTATCCTGGAGGGATATCCTGGTACCGATCCTCTCCAACAGGTAGTCAAACTGGGTCCAGATCAGCCGAAAATAGCGCTGCAAGCGGCAGTCATCCAGGCGCAGCTCCTGGAGAAGGTGGGGGAATTCCCTGAGCTGTGTGTTTCTCTGGGGGATCCCCGGACACTGTGGCATCTGGACTTGCTTCATTCACGGGAATGAAGTGAGTAAACTCAATGCACACACGTGTCCAAATACCTGCAATGATGCGAGTAAAATCATTCGCGCGAATGATTTCATGTAAAGTCAATGTGAAGACGGGATTAGACGCGAGTAAACGTCTCACGGTGCGAATCGCGCGATAAGTGCAGCGCGAATTGAGCGAGTTATTCACGCGAATGACATGATTCTCGCTGTGTTAAAGTTGAAAAATCGGAACTTTTGGGATTTTTCGCACCGCGATGGCCAATCAGTGTTTAGACTCACTAGTGATATCAGGAACATGATACTTTCAGTTTTCTGCAACTACACTGTGACTACTGATTGATTTACTCACCCCAGAAGATAAGTAGCAACATTTTTGACCCAGACGAGCGGCCGCCAGCAGGGGTACGCTGACCACAGCGATGAGGAGCCAGCGGAGGTTTTATCCTTAGCAACTCGGCTCACGAGCTTGCGAAGTTGAAGGGTAGCATTCTTGTGTGTGGACAGCCAGGGACAGCCAGTCTGCTGAGCACTGAGATCTGCCTTGGCCAATAATGTGGCTACTTATCTTCTGGGGTGAGAAAATCAATGAGTGTTCACAGTGTAGTTGCAAAAAAGTGAATGAATCATGTACGCCGATTGGTCATCGTGGTGTGAAAAGTGCTAAAGTTCAGATTTTTCAACTTGTGCATCAAACGCGAATTTGCGTCATTCATGCATTACGTGCGTTTAACGTGGCGAGAATTGTGTCATTGGCACGAATAACTTGCTCATTTTGCGTCATTCATGTCGCGCCAATCGCTTGACTCGCACCGCAAGATGTTTACTCGTGTCTAATCGCGTCTTCACATTGAATTTACATGTAAATCATTCGTATAAATGATTTTACTCTCATCTGGTGTGAACACAGCATAATGGCATGGGCATGTATGGCTGCCAATGGAAATGGTTGTCTTATATTTATTGATGGTGTGACTGCTGACAAAAGCAGCAGGATGAGTTCAGCAGTGTTTCAGGCAACATTATGTGCTCATTGTCAGCCAAATCTTTCAGAACTCATAGGATGGAGCTTCACAGTGCAGATGACCCAAAGCATACTGCAAAAGAAACTGAAGACTTTTATCGGGCAAAGAAGTGGAATGTTCTGCAAGGCCAAGTCAATCACTTGACATGAATCAAATTAAGCATGCATTTCACTTGCTGAAGACTAAACTGAAGGGAAAATGCCCTAAGAACAACCAGGAACTGAAGACAGCAGCAGCTGAGGCCTGGCAGAGCATCACCAGGGACGAAACCCAGCATCTGGTGATGTCTATGGGTTCGAGGCTGTCATTAACTGCAAAGGATTTGCAACAAAATATTAAAACTGCTAATTTGATTCATGACTATGCTAATTTGTCAAATTACTTTTGGTTCCTTCAAAAGGTATGTAGGATATGGACAGACACAGATGCTCAAAAGGATTCAAAGAAGAAACTTCATGGGTACTTTGCAGCACCCAGGTCACAGGGCCATGTAAATCAGCCTTGCAGACTCGGAGGAGTGAGGAAGCAGAGTCCCTTTTGGGAATTTCCTTATCACACCTATCAGAGGATCTAAGAAAGAATTTCTTTGGGGGAAGACAAAGAAAAACATTCAAGACCACTCAGACCTTAACAAATGGTCCAGATGGCCAGGCGCAATGAAGTGCCCTGGGCTTAACGTA